GATCCCGTCATGCCCGAGCCGGGCTTTGTGAAGCCGGAGCAGGAGGGCAGCTCCTTGCTGGCGTACTGCGACATCGACGCGGAGGGCCAGTACAAGTGCCGCCTTTGCAGCACAGGCTTCATGGACATGCTCTACTTCCAGGCGCACCTGATGACCGAAGCCCACCAAGGCCGCCTCAAATGGTTCCTTAAGGAAAAAAAGACGGCTGCAACAGCCCAGACGGCTGAAACAGCCCCGGCCTCATCGTCAAGTGGGATGGCTCCTGCCGCGGGGTCGAAGGCCAAAACTGCGCCGAAGAAACGCGTGCACGACGAGCAGGAGCCGGATCCCAAGGAGGTGAAGACGGTGAAGATGGAAGAGGAGCCGGGGCCCAAGGACGTGACGGTGAAGATGGAGGAGGCCAAGGCGGCTGCAACAGCCGAGGTGGAGCAGCCCGAGCCACAGGGATCGTCGGCTGCAACAGCCAAGGTGGAGGTGGAGGTGACGAAGGAGAAGACGGAGCAGGCCACGGCAGCGGTGGTGNNGCTGCGGGCGAGGTCCAGCAGGTGGCAAAGACAGAGGAGCAGCCCATGGAGGTGGATGATGAGAAGGTGCCGGACCAGCCCATGGAGGTGGATACGAAGGTGGCTAAGACGGAGGCCATGGAGGTGGATACGAAGGTGGAGGCGGCTGCGGCAGCAACAGCGGTGGACGCGGCAGTGGAGGCGGTGGAGCCGGCTGCAACAGCCCTGTGCATGGACCCCGGGGAGCACATCGCGTACTTCCTGACCAACGATGGCGTGGACAAGGTCAAGTATCGCGTGAGCGGTGTCGGGGCCAGAACCATCGTAATTCTGCCTGGCACCGGCCGCCCGTACATCGGGCAGCCGGAGCTTTTGCTGAATGAGTACAGGGACAAGAACATCCGCATCGTGGAGCCGGCGAACGTGGAGGGAGGAAAAAAAGGCAAAAAATGGAAGCTCAACCCGCCCACGTGGCTCGCAACGTTCGTGCACGAGGCTGGCGCCACCTACGTTGCAGGATTCTCCCGGGGGGCTTTTTGGATCAGCCTCTTGATTGCAGGGCTGTGTGATTTCGGCGCCATCCTGCTAGACGAGAAGGAGGCATCGGCTGACCAGACGGCTGCAACAGCCCGGATCCCCGAGTGCAGCCAGTTTGATCCTGGCCGTTTGGAGGCCGCGCTTATGGTGGGCTGGTACAAGAAGCCGTCCTTCAACGAGTGCGACCTCGAGGACTTGGCGCAGCGCATCGAGCCACCGGCGCTGTTCGTCCAGTCCACGGCCGCTGGGCAAGTAAGTGAGTTTTTTTTTGTAATGCTAGGAGAATATATTTTTGCGAATATTGATTCTACTCAGATGGATGAGTGCTGCCCGCTGGGAAAAGTGGAGAAGACCTTCTTCAGGTCCGTTCAGCGCCTGAACAGGGGCCGCCTGATGGCGGCGGACGATCTGACGCACGGAGATCTTGAACTGCTACTCGCACTTCAAGGGAAGTGCGAGTGGGCTGGCAGGTTGTGCTGGGACCATCTGCTTCGCACACAATCAGTCCGCCCAAGTGTTTGGCGGGCAAAGTGCGAAGCAGATGGTCCCAGCTAAGACGGCTGCAACAGCCAAGGGCGTCGTTTGTCGGCTGCAACAGCCAAGGGCGTCATTTTCTTGACTTGTCGGCTGCAACAGCCCAGGGCGTCATTTTCGTGACTTCCGGTAGACGCACGAGCGTAGACTTAGAGGCAGCAGCAATAGCATCAAACCAATGCCATAAGCAAGTCCTTCTTCTAGCGGAAGTCACGCCCTTGATCGCCCTTGATCACCACTGCGACGCAACTTCTGGGCAACGCAGATCAAAAGTCCGGTACAATGCACTCTGCTGTTCCATGCATGCTGCGCTGCATGTACCCATTTCTGTGTTTGCAGGATCTCCCAGAGGCCGCTCAAGGCAGATGTCTTCCTATGGGACACGATGCAGATATTCATCCTGGGGCCGACGGCCATTGTGCGCAAAGCTGCAAATAGCTGCATGTTCCAGAACCTCTTGTCGCACTTCATTGACCGAATGGAGGTGTGCAGAGGTTTAGACGGCTGGAACAGCCCATAGCGCTTCAGACAAGACCTAAGCCTAGGCTTTCACCCACGAACATGGCTCGACTAAATGAGGCTGGAAGAACCTGTTTCTGCATAGGAGTCGGGAGGGTTGCAACAGCCCACTAAGGCGGCATTGGAGCCGGCTGTAACAGCCAACTGAATCGATCGGACGGCTGGAACAGCTTCCTATAATAGTGGCACTCCAGGGCTTAGTACTGTATAAGACTTGCAGTTCAGGCAGTAATAAAGGTAATTTGGCGTTTCTTCATGAGCCTGGCAACCCCCCCTTGCAGGTCAAGGTGACCCAAACAGCCCATCAGAATTTCTCGTTGGCAAAACACCGGTTCGAAAGCAGTTACGAACCAGTCCTCCGCCTCATCTTCCACCTGCCGGCTTTCATTCTCGCTGCCCAACAACTTGTGCGCGAAAGGCCTGCAAGCGACCACATCGCCATCGCCTGCAAACGTTTTCTGGACGAGCTGACGGAGGAGCGTTTGCTCACCCTCGCCATGATTGCAGACGCAAACTCTGCGATTATGCGGCTCACCCGTTATATGGATACTGAGGCCTACGACAGCACCGGGCTGCAACACGCACTGATGACATGTGCGAACACTCTTCATCACCTCTTCATGGAGAATGCCTGCCGTGAACACGGGCTTATGATGCACATGCGAGAGGCCCTCGAGAAGCCGCTGGTGTATGTGGACAGTCGGGGAGTCCCGCATAGTGTTGGTGGAAAAGCCGTGGCACTTCGGGCAGCTGAAACAGCTTGCAAAGCCAGGTTCCAGGCTTTCACAAAGCTCAGCTTGGCAACGATGATTGCCGAGTTTCCATGCTTCAGCATGCTGGCGGCCTTCGAGGCTTTTGTGCTGAGTGGCAAAAAGTTTGCAGCGTTGAGCCGGATGCGTTGGCTGGACTCCTTGGCACGGCTGGGGAAATTCTGTGCTGTAGACGAGAAGCAGCTCGCGGAGCAGATGCAGGCTTGGCTTTGGATATACGCAAATTCGGTTGTTCTTATATGATATAAGTACTAGCCCGTCGCTGCGCAGGAACTACGACCCGCGGCCCGGGCGGTCTTCGATTACAGTGACTGCAACGTTTTCCAGGCTTGGCGCAAGGTCTGCAGACAGCGGCCGGCTGCAACAGCCCTGCACGAGGCGTTACTGCGCCTTGGCATCATGAACGGCTGCACCACGTCAGGTGTGGAGCAGACCTTTGCGAAGCAGTCGCAGATCTTCACGAAGCACCGCAGAAAAATGCATGCTTCCCTCGAGTGCGATGAGACGGTGCTGGCGGGAGACCTCGTCAGTGAAGAGTGCCGTGTCGTGTCCGATGAGAAGATTTGCCTGCAGGCGGCTCGCATTTGGCTGCGGCTTCGCTACGAAAAGAAGATCGCAACAGCAAGTCGCATGACGAAAGGCCTCAAACGGACAGCACTGAAGAAGAACCTGGGCAAAATGTCGGCTGCAACAGCCACGCAGTGGAAACTCCGAGCGCGAGAAGAGCTCAGCAAGGCCATGAAGCAGCGTGGCTTGAGAGATGTGAGCTCGCTGGAGAGGAGTATCCGCCTTCCTTGTGGACACGCGGGCTGGAGCAGCGCTCACGAAGAGGAACTGGCCTTCCAGAAAAACAAGTTGCTGGAGAAGAAGATGCAGGCATCCCAGGCCGGTTTGTTGCTAGACGCCGAGGAGCGGACGATCGCGGCTGACAAGCCGAAGTGGTTGAAGAGGCAAGCGCAAAATACCCACAAGGAGGCCTTGAAGGCCAAACGGTTGAGCGACATAGACCTCACTGCAGACCGCCGGTGGAAGTTGGCGGATGTCCTGGGAGGGCAGGTCAGACTGAGTGAAAACTAGGTCTGTAGATGAAGCTGAGCAAGGCACTTCATGTAACATGTCAATCAAACTCCCGTCAGGTAGTGGCACTTGAGCAGGGGCTCGAGCATTTGCGGCAACAGGCGAGGAGGTTCTGCTTGCGCGTGGAAGAGCCGGCTGAAACAGCCTCAGTGTGCATTGTCAGGAACCCAGCAGAGGTGCCCAGGCGGATGGCATGGGTGTTGACGCTGTACGGAGGAGCCGCCGTGAATCCGGCCTTTGTCCAGAGCATGGGCAAGAAAGGCGAGCTCCTGCAGTTCGAGGCTGCGGTGCGGAAAGCAAAACTAGGTATTTGGCTGACACCTGCTTTTGTTGCAGAAGCACCTCGCATTGCTGCGATGCTGCGACGAGCAGTGAGGCACCCTGGGAGCAAGTGGCAGCTACAAGGTGACGAGAATAGCTTCTGGAACATCCGTGGCAAAGCCGTTGCTATCGCCGCCCCATCGGACAGAGGCCTGATACAGAGGCTTAAAAGTCGCTGTGCAGGCACGCGGAAGCAGAAGACGGTGATGTCTGCTCAGGGCTTCCTGAAATCGCAGACAAAGGTAATCCTAAAAGCATGCAAACTTCGGTGCTAGGAACCTTTGTCTTCTAATTCCTACACAGCGAAAGCGCTGAGGCTTTTCAATTTCCGTGACCAGACGGCTGCAACAGCCGGGGCACACAGCCACAGCACTCAGGGTCTGTACAGTCTGGGGAACATGGGGAAGAAGATTGGACGATCTGTCTTTGGGGAATGAAAAAAACGAGTGGGGCAAGCCCAAAGTCCAGTCCAGGCCCAAGAGGCCCAAAGAAAAAATTTAAAAAAAAAGTATAAACTTAGACAAGGGTCGACTGTTTTAAGGACCCCCGCCGCCAGGGGGGGTCCTTAAAACAGTCGCGCACGTGCACGACTGTTTTAAGGCCCCCCGCTGGGACCCTTCCCGACTGTTTTAAGGACCCCCGCCGGCAGGGGGGGTCCGTAAAACAGTCCAGACCCCCCCCCAGGACCCCCCTTAAAACAGTCGCGCACGTGCACGACTGTTTTAAGGACCCCCGCCGGCAGGGGGGGTCCGTAAAACAGTCCCCCCTTGTCTAAGTTTGCGCTTTTTTTTTAAAACAGTCACGCACGTGCACGACTGTTTTAAGGACCC